ACATTTTTCATAACGAAGTATATATATATTCAAATGAATTAAGTTTGTTTATCTTTGTCGTGATATGTAGAACATGATCAAAGAATTAGATATGAGCAAAAACTCATCTAATCCTATGAAATATCAATTTTGAGCTTCATACAAGAAATAGTATTATAGGATATGAATTATATTGTTCTGATAATATTTCACTAAACTCATTTTGATAAGTTTGTTTTAGTGAAAACACCTATAAATCATCATAATAATAATAAACTATGTTTTTACAGTTTTTGACACCAAAAATTTAGGTATATATGTATTGTCACACTGTGAATGATTTAAATATACAATGGTAGTAATGATAAAGTTTTATCTGATAAAATAAAAACTATTTAGAAATTAGTTATCGATGTAATTAAAATAGGAGGGAGCATTTTCTTATGTAATTTATTTTATTAGTTACAGCCGTATACATTAATACTTGTATAATAAAAAAAAGTATAGCATGAATTATATAGTTTTATATTGTCTTCGATGGACATATTGCTTCTACGAAGAATCATGAATTATCTACCGTGGTAAGAAAATGCTCCTTGCACTAGCTCGAATAAATATTCTACAACATAAGTTTTCACCAAATATTAAAAAAAATTTGGTATATGTAAATATTGGAATAGATTTGAATATATAATACACTATTTTAAGTATTGTTTTTTAATTATTGTGACAAAAATTACACAATACACTATATAATATTTTATAAAGATTCATTCATCAATAAATAGTGTTTACAATTATTTATAATGTTGCAATTCGATATAAAGATTGTTTTCGCACGATATTAAGTATATACGTTTATTTTTATTTACATATGTGACAAAGCTTTTTATTTTTTACGAAATACATGAATATATTCGACATCATATTCCTTTGCATAAAGAAATTCGATTATTACTTCAAGTTGACACAAAATTTTATTGAAGACAGAGAAAATGAACGATTTGATAGAATTTTCCAGATTACATTATAAATAACAAAAACGACCATATTATTCTAGCTAATTTAATAAAGTTTCGTATATAGTATTTACAATTATTTAAAAAGAAGTTGAAAAACTTTAACAACCGCAATACTTATGTCCATATCTATAAATATTAAATTGATACACATCTTAACTGCACATACAAAGTATCAAACACCCAAATTTGAGTTCATACAGAATACATATTTATTTATACTTTGAAAATTTCTTAACATGATTTTTATTAGATTTGTTTATTCAAATATATATATTTATAAAAGAGTGATCCTTAAAATACAAACCGGATTATTTTATCACTGTTAAGCATTAACCGAGTATAAGTAATTATTTTATGTAAATTCACTGTTTTACCCAAAATTTATTCAAATATCTTTTCAATTTCATCTAATTATAAATTTTGTACAATTGCTCAAAATTATCAATAACTAATTTTCAAAACGAATATACTAAATTGTTAATAATTTTCTGTTTGGAATATTTAGAAAAAATAATTTGTTTCAATTATTTTTCTAACGAATAAAATTATTTATTGTTCTAATTGTAAGTAAACATGATAATTGTTCTAGAAAACATAATATTTTAAGTTTGCCAAATATTTACACATTTAATTAATATATTTATAAAATAATTCCTGCTGGAATATTTCATACCTTTATAGTTATTGTGATATTATTATTATTATGTTATTTTCATATAAAATGTAATTTTTATAAATTTCTAAAATTTTAAATGCTAATTCCATGCAGTTATTTTGCAAAATTATTATGAATAATGAAAATGATTTGAATGACATGAAAATAAAAAATAAACATGTACGATTCGATACTATCAATGTTTATTTTTTCGAATTGCTACTAATGCATCGCATTTTTTACATATGTTGAAATGATTTTGTATGTCGACAAAATTTAATAAGTATTTTATTTACAAATAGAACAATATAATTGAAACAATTAATGTTGTAACTGAAATTTTTGATAATCGAGGTGTTAATAAAATTTTTGCGCGTTTAGTAATTCAAAATATTTTGTACGATAAGTGTAACCGATAAGTGAAAAAAATTCTTTGAAGTTTTTTCAATTAATTCATATTTGGTTTAAATAGATATAGAATTTACTTGAGAGAAAAGTAGATAAAATTTACCAGAATATACCCCAAATTCTTGGATTAAATACAAAATGTCGTGGTATGTTACGGGTCTATCTTCATATGAATTGATATTTAAAAAACTATCAAAAAGCTATGTATTTGCTGTGCGATGAGGTATTTTATACATAAAACCTTACTTCACGTATGTGTTATCAAAGACACATCATAGATATGCACACTTATAATTTTTTTTTAAATTTGATATCTGTGCCTGTTGGAGGTTAGATTTTATGTGTAAAACGCCTGAACGCACAGCAATTATATAGCTTTATGAAAGTTTATTACTATGAACTCATACGAATATAGACCCGTAATGTAGCATTTTCATAACATATCAATTTTATTCGAGAATTGCCCTCTAAGTTTCTATAATAACCCATTTTATATATTTCTTTGATATTGCGATAAATTTCAATCAAGAATATGGTTTTTAAATTAATATTTGTCATTTATATTTCTTTAAATTAAAAAAATAAAATTTTGAAGATTTAATAAACCCTTTTGCTACGAGTGTCGTCTATAGACGACATCCGCTTGACCACCTGTGTGTACGAGTGTCGACTATAGACGACTTCCAGTTTGTCGACTTCTGCTTTAAGATTACCATTATGAGTTAAACTAAAGGTTAAATTGCTGGAACTTCCTGTACCATAATCAATCATCTGGGGCATAAGAATAATCAAAAAATGTATCAATAATTAATAATCATTGTTTTAAATATTTTCTCAAATAGATTATCATAAATATTGTAACTTTATTCATATTTTATAGACAAAATATAAGATTAATATGTATTTACAAGAAAAGTAAATGAAAAAAAATTTGTTTCAGAATTCTTATAAGAACTTACCAGAATTTTCAATAATTAGCTTTCTCGAAAACGAATTTTTTTACATATCTTTACGTTTCAAAATCTTCTAAACATTTTGGCATAGCTTAAAAAAAAGGATGAATGTGTGTGCGTATGTGTGTGTGTGCGGATACAATTTTTTGTCGACAATTTCGCGAGCAGGGATCAACCGTTTTGAATGATTCACAAAACCTTAGATTCGTTGTCAAAAAATTGTATCCGCACATACACACGCACATACACACATACATACACACACATTTTCATCCTTTTTTTCAAGCTATACCAAAATGTTTAGAAGATTTTGAAACGTAAAGATATGCAAAACAAATCGATTGCAAGAAAGATAATTATTGAGAATTCTAAATTGTTATTGTGATATTTAGTTCTTTAAAAGTATAATTTTTATAAATACATGTTCATTAATATAATGATCGAAAAATATTAAAATATCTTGTGTATCTTTACACAAGCGGCAAGCGGCTATTTGAGCGGCTTGCTGGCTCGTACAACAGTGTCACTTCTACAAAAAAAACTCTCGTACCAAAAAGGTTAATTATCAAAAAAATCAAAAAGAATGTTATTGTTAAAAAATGAGTTTTTTTATCTAATGCTTATGAGTTATGCATGTTGTGATTTTTTTATGAAGTTAAAAAATAAAATGAAAAATTTTGTGATTACAATGCAGCTGATTGCTATATGATATATCACAGAGAATATAATATTACATTTTAATTACTTATCGTTAATATAAGACGACACAGGAATTTGTAGCTTTAAAAACTAATAATAATAATCGGTTTTAGAAAGCGGATTTTAATTTTGTTAAAAGCATGAGACATACATATCTTTTAAGGCTTGTATTATTATTATTAATATTCATTATTATTAGTTGCAGTAACTATATAAGTATACGAAAGAACTATTTTCACAATGTTTTAGTTAACTTTTCATTGCTCTTAGCACATTTTGGTTATTCTCTAGAATTATATTTAGTAATATGTACAGATTATGAACACAATGAAATGTCTGAGATCTGTTACAGGAAATTACCAAAAATAACACGCAAAATGACACAAAATTGTGCTTTAAAAATCGGATAACACGTTTATTTTAATCACTGAAAGAAATGAAATTTATTTTTTACTGACATCAATTATAAACAGCGCTCTAGTAGGTGTTTTAATAATGATTTTTTCATGTCCATAGAAGGTTTAAATACGCTAAAAGTGTTATTTCGGACGGTCTACATATATTTTGTAAATCAACTCCGCAAATTCGTTTATTTTCTTTAAATGTCCATCTTTATGCACTTTTATATTTTTAGCAATCAAAGGCATTTAGGTGCTTTGTTTTGAGTTTTTTTTATAACGTCTGTTCCATGTTAGCCAAACATATCGTATTTTAATAAATATATGAATCTTTGATTTTTAAAACTAAAAGGTATTAAAACATCACGCCACTTATTATTACTTAAATTTAAATTTCTCAATAAGGAACTAATTCTTATTTTAGCGTCATGAGGTTGAGCAAAAGGCGAAGTCTTCTAGTTATCTTCTTATATAATCCTTTAATTGCAACCAATTCTTGTTTTTTAATTGAACATATTAAAAAACATAAAAAATGAATAATTGCCTTAAAATTTTGTTCACACTAATAATTTAAAAATAATTATGCATATTTTGAAATTTTGAAATACTAGTCAGATATATCACACTATATCTTCTGATTTCAGTAATAAATTTAGTTGTTTATATTTTCATTTCACCAAAGTTGACTTTGACCAGTTAACTGTGATTGACAAATATACACGTCATGAAGAAGTAGCAAAAATTTTGTGTGTTGACGTGTATATCCGTCATGCATATAAAACATTGAATTGAAACTATTTAAATTGAAAATTTTTAAAAACCATAATATATTCTCACCTACCAAGTTACTTAGAATATTTTGAGCCTATAAAATAAGTAGTTTTACCTTGCAATTTTTCATCCAATATCTTAGCAGCACAACCTACTCTGTGATTGACGAATATAGACGTCATGAGTTGGGATTGGGACGTCAAAAAACTTTGTGTGGAACCGTTTGATGTGAGCGCCACAGTTAACTGGTTAAAAAACACAATTGTGCAAAATTTAAATTTAAAATCACAAACCAAAAAATCTTGTACGAATTAAAGTCTTAGTCGTAACCAAATCGAATTAATTTTAAATAACAAATACATTAGATTGTACGAAAGTAAGAAGAGTATAAAGTATATTAGAGAAGTTAATACCTTTTATCCGAATTATGTAACTAGTAGACTTTACCTTTTGCAACCCATCTTTCATCCAAACACTATATATAAATATCAATTGTCCACTTCACATTAATTGTTCACTGTTGCACAGGCAAAGGATTTTCACTTCTAATGTCTGATTTCAGTTTGACGAATTCTTTGGCGACATCGTCGTTGTTCCTTTGAGAAAGGATTCGAAGTATCGTCCAGCCTGTTTCGTCCATCTGAATCCTCTTACCGAGGGTCAGCCATAGAGCGCAGGAACCGTGCTAAGAAAAATTAGGATTTCATATAAAATTTGTAATTTTATTAAACTCATCATAAAAGTGGTTGTAAGTGGTAAATCTGAACTTTGATTTTTTATAATTCGATCATTTACCGTAGGTCTATAATATTTTATTATGTTTGTTTTCACCATAAAATCTTTTATCAAAAATGATCTGATGATGATTTTCAATAGGAATGGAGAAATGGATCTTTACTAAAAATTGGTCACCACGATTTTCAAGTTAGGGGGCGTCCATTAATTTTTGTTCAACTTAGTGAGGATTTTAGGACCCCCTCTCCCTTGGTGATATTTAAAATCATTTCCCCTTCCCCATCAAACATCACGAGTATTTTAATTACGTGAAAAAATTGGAAGTTTTTAAATTTTGTTTTTTGAAAATTTTTGGATTTTTTTTAAAAAATGCAGGTAAAAAATAAATACACGTGATATCTTACTATAACCATCTCTCCCTTACGCGATATTTCGTGATTTTTTGTCAAACCTCCTGTTCCCCTAAAATCCTCATGTGATTAATGGACGCTCCCTTATATCTTTCAAAGTCTGTTCGAATTTTTGAACTCAATTAAGGATTTTTTGAGAAAACGTTAACAAAAAAATCTGATCTGATATAAAAATTCTAAAAAATGGCTCAGCATGCAGAACTAATCAACGCAAAAACTTATAGAATTTAATTAAATTTTGAAGGTCAAATATTGATCAACATATACCCATATACAATCACATATTTTTCTCAAATTTGCGGTCAAAAGATTCAGAATTTTATTGCGAAAACATAAACTTATCCAAAGAAAAAGTTAACAAAAGTACTAATAAATACTTATTTAATTTTGCAATTGATTCTATTTTCAAAATATTTTTTTTGAATATTTTTTTATATTGTAGGACCGCATTTAGAATTTTGGCAGCTTGGGGCACTAATAAAAATGCCGCCCCATCCTTGAAATTTTACTTAAATAGTTTTTATATCTCATTTTTCTAAAATTTAAATAACTATTTGATTGCAAAAAAATTATTACGCATTACATACTATAACTAGTGGTGCATGGCATCGTGCCTCAAAGCAAATTGCCTGAAGACAAAATTAGCTTTATTTGAAATTTTTTTTTTATTTTACGAATTTTTTTTGAAAATTTTGAACTTTTTCTCCAAGTAATCGCACTGCCAAGTAGTACGGTCAATTTACGCAATTAAGTTTACAAACATTTTATAATGAGCCGTAACTTGGTAAAATTGCTTAAAATACAATTACATTAGAAATCTCATAAGGTCAGAGGTCAAAACAATCAATTTTTCGCGATTTTCAGCGTCAGTTTTATCACAAAATCAACTTGGACAAAATTGTACAAAACTTATATCATTTAAGTACATATATAAAAAGTAATATTCTATTCTCGTGTTTACTACCCAAAAATGAGTTCTATATATTATTATGAGTCTCTGAAAAATATATAAGTAAAATCTTATTTTTAAAATATATTTAGAAATTATGTTAAAAATTTAAGATGCAAAAATTAACAATTTGCGGCAAACAATGGCAAGTGATAATATATTAAATAATGTATATAATAATAAAAAACAATTAGAAATAGTATTACCTCTTCCAATACTTTCTTCAGTTGCAAAACAGCAACGCCGACTAAGCGATCTTCTCGAGCAAAACAGTAGTCTCGCACACAAATGTGCAACTCGTAGTAATCCAACTGTTCTTCATTACCGATTATACTAAAAAAAATATTTTTTTTAAAACTAATACAGTTAAAGTATATGAATAATAATATTTCAGTGTAAATGTAACACAAAAGTTTTATATACAGGCATCCATCCAGTAGAAGAAAAATTAAAGAATGTCAAATTTTTTTAGCAAGTCTCCCAATTGGATATTGGAGTCTCAGTTTGACTATTTTGGACACATTTTTAAATAAAACTTCAGAACTTCATATAATGAAATTTATAAAGATTTTTTAAATGAAAGCAAGCAATTTAATATACTAGATTTTTTGCAGAAGTTAAAACTAGTAACGATCTGAAGGTTATATACAAAATGCTCAGACAATGATATATCAACAATTTAAGACATTAGGACAAACCCCTTTTTAAAAACTAAAATGCTTGAAACTGCATAACAGATGACAAGTATTAATTAGAAATTAATGCATTTAATGATGTTTTTCAATTAACAGTCGACTTACAAGTTGAAAGACTCGTTAAACTTGGGGCTCCAATTGTTGCTCTTGGATTTGGTGGCCTGTTTGCGCTTCTTGTCGGATAGGTGCGGTCCAATCAGGTTCACCTCGACGAATGGACGGAACATACCAGACGGCACATGCCACTTCAGATCATTTGCAGCCACCACTAATGAATAAAAAAAAAATAAATGGTTTGATGAGAAAAACAGATAATTATTAAACTTTTGTCTGTTTTTAGCATAGGTCTTTGAATCCACAAATCCCCCAAATCCCAATCACAAAATCCCAAAGTCATTTTTGTAATCGAATCATTTCGTTTTCAGACAGTGAATGCTTGTGACCTAACACTTTCCACTCGCGAATTCCGAGATTTATATGAATTTTCGGCGGCATCCGAGTCAAAAGGATTAATTTTGATTAAGATTTTTTTGACTTTATGGAAATGCTTAAATTTTATTAAAAAAATAGTTTATTATAATCAAGGGTTGGGATCAATTTTTTTATTTTAATTTTATTTGACACAGAATTAAAAAATACATAACACCTTATTTCCACTCTCCTATCACAAATACCTATTTTTCATATAGCTCTTTTCGATGTTTTTCATTGAATTTCAAAATATTTTCAAAATTAATCTTAGATATTGTAGACGGAAAGGTCACCATCGATAAAACTAGATGCATCAAATTATTAATTGATTTCTACATAATTTCTGACAGTACATATACAGTATAAGTACATGTATCGCGAATAGCTTGCAGAAAGAGCAATTTTACCAAAAAAGTGTAGAAATTGAATAATAAAATCTAAAGATACAACAGATTTTAAAAGGCAGCTAGATGTCATACAATCCTGTGACAAAACTGTAAATTTGTCCACAGAGTTTTTGAAATCAGACTTTATTCGCAAAGTATGGCGCAAAATTCGTAATTAAAAAATTAATGATTTACTGAAAAACGCTGAAATAATTTAGTAACATCTTGAATATTTAAATGTAACAATTCAATTTAAATGAAATCAGTTACAGATTAGGTTGACACTTGCATGGATATTAATATACCTCAGAAACTATTTATATGTGGCATGCGTTGCAGTAGGTAAAGCATCCAAATAATTTGTGTTAACTGCCCCTGTCACTTATATTTAACATATTACACATTCATAATCAGTGACTAATTTTTTTACTAAAAATTTTCTATTAAAAAAGTGCAAACCCATGTCCCTGCTGCTTGACATCAGGTTGTGCGAACCTGGTTCCTCTGTTCCAAAGGAACAATAAAAATATAAACAAAATATCATATTTTTATTCACCTTTTACTGTGATTTTATGTTCACCGGTTCCAGGATGCGTGAAAAGATCAACTTGAATTGAAATTTCACCCACACCTCCTTCCTCCGATGTAATTGTATCTAAAATTAATTAAAATTAGCATTAATAAAAAAATAATTGTTGCTCTAAAAATAATACTGTCATTTGCATAATGCTTTATAAACCGTGAGCAAAATTCTATTTATTTGTTATAAATGAATATCATGCAAAATAAATGATGATTAATTGAGTACTAGAAAATTACTAAAAAAGTTATAAATTTTGTTCTTGGCGTGTTAAGTAACATACGATTTGTGAATTACTCTATGATAAAGTGTTAATTAACATAATTTTAAAATAATGTATAATATGATTCTGTTTTGAATATAATTCGATAAATTTTTGTATATTTATTTATTTATTTATTTTTGTATATTATTATTCCATGCAAAAATATGAGATGATATTGATTATAATTAATAAAACAGGCCAATTAGCAGCTAATAAACTAATTTTATTTGCAAATATTTCTAATTGATATTAATAATAATTTATTTTTTCAGACAAAATGAAAAAACTACTTAACAAAAAAAATGCAATTATTTAGCAATAATTTTCATAGTAATTTTGAATATTTTGTGAAATTTTAAATTATTAATGTAAATATTAGTGTAATTCTGATTTTTTTTTTCTAAAATGAAATAAAAGAAAATAATGTTCTCTCAAAAATGGAATATATAGATTTTGTGTACCATAAGTGTTTAAAATATGTATAACATTGTGCAAGTAATATGAAATGCATATGAATATATTATATTGGTATGTAGATTTCAGCAACTAAAAGTGGTACGATTTTGTGACCATTATAAATAAATATATATATATATATATATATATATATATATATATATATATCTTGTTTTTTTTGTATATGGCGTTGCTGTTATTTTACATTTACTAAAACGAGTTTTGATGTTTAGTCCACAATAGTAGTGAATGTCATATAAACCCTGGAGCTTGGATTTAATGAACGTTTTATGATGCCTTGGAGACACGATGGCTGTGATGATTTCAAAATTAATGTTTCATAAATATAATACAAAATGCAACTAATTCGAAAAGCACTACTTGAATACTTGAATACTTTGCATCTCTAGATATATGCTTGATCGAAGCTAATATCAAACCAATTTAAACTAAATAAATAAGAAAAATAGAAAAATCGATTTGCACACGTGATTATTTTAAAAATCACAACTAAATATTGGTTTTGAACCATACCCATATATTGCTGGGAGATTTATTGAGAATTGGCGGAGTCATTTTTTTATTCTATTATTATTACTTAAATTTTAGTAATAATAACTCCTTTAGTAGTGAATTTGAGCATATTCCTTTTATAGCTAACTGGTTATTGACTCTGAGATTTCGACTTTTTATTCTGTTATTATTTAAAATTCCAATGTATGATACCGAGAATTGCTATTATCGCCTTCAAAATAGTATCGAAACAAAAAAACATTTTAATTAATTGGGCTACATTGAGATCATTAAGGAATACCCATAAAGTGTAAAATGTAGTTAATTCCCAAACAAATTTGCACAAACCGAGCAACACCTATTATCTACCACCGATGATAGTATATTATAAATGAGTTAAAATTTATATTTTTTTTAAAAAATCACTATAATTTAATTAGAAGTCTTTTGTAAAATACAAGTGAATTGTCGATAACTGTTATGTTATAAGTAATAAATAGAATTATATTTTTATGCTATATAGTAATAAGTTTTGTTTAGTATATCAAATTCAAAATTAACTCTTTTGCAATTAGGGCTTGATTTTGGATTTGACAGAGATCTTCGCCAAAATTACACTGCTGTACGAGCCAGCAAGCCGCCCAAAAGTATTTGTTATACAGCATATTTTAGGATTTCCCAATCATCATTAATAAAAATGTTAAATTGAAAAGTGCACTTTTTAAAATTTATTGAAAATTGACTATTGATAGGTAGGATAAGTAATTGTAAAATGAAATTTTAAAAAACATTGTTTTATGATATTGGCTCCTTGCACAAACCCTCATGACAACTAATTTAACAATAGTAAAACAATTGATGTATAATTTTTTATGGCTACTTATTCCTTTATGAAACATCAGCAAATTTTTGGTAGTATTTAGATCTTAGTCTCATTAAAATTACGTGATCGACTTTTTAAGGATTTTCGCCCCCCCCCCCTCTCTTGGTGAATTCTGGTGATATTCAAAATTACCTTCAAGTCTCCCACAAAACGTCACGTGTATTTTTAGTTTCGAGAAAAAAAGTAAAATTTTTAATTTTATTTGAAAATGTTTGGATTTTTTTTTAAAAATCTGGTAAAAATAAATACTCGTGATATCTTATAATACCCCCGTGTCCTCCACGTGATTAAACCCCCCCTTAGAATGACTAAATCAAATACCAACCTAGATAGTCCAGTCATTTAAACTTAAATTAGGTAAGAGTTTCGGAATTCGAGATACCCAGCTGTAAATCTGTAAATACTTGTATATTGACACTAAAAAGTTGTCTCAAAACCTACATATGGTAGGGTGTACGCAAAATATATAGGTTTTGAGACAACTTTTAAGTGTCAATATTCAAGTATTTACAGACTTACAGCTGGGTATCTCGATTTCCGAGGTGAACTTACTATAATGACTGGACACTAGACGTCCGGGTATGGAAATCGATAAAATTGATCCGTGTGCAAATCGACATTTACCAAAACCAAATCTACAGAAAAAATCAAGCTGATAAAATTGTATGAATCTTCGTCATCTAAATGAGCCAAAATCCATCTATCCATCCATCCACCAGATCAGTGTAGTGTGCCTTCTCTACCTTGTCTCTGTTGTTGTTGTTGTTGTTGTTGTTGGGCGCTGTCGGAAATTTCCGATTCTCTTCGCTTTTTGGCTTTGAGCGGCTCTTCTAGGCCCTCGAGGCCGTCCTCGTCGTGTTCCAGCGATATAGAACGCTGACGCATTTTGTCGCTTAGCGGTACTTTACGATGCAACACACAAACAACAATGACAGACATCAGACATCTCATCAAGACAAATCGGATTTATAATCAAATCAAATCGAATCGAATCGATTCAAATTCTGATTCTGATCATACATATATTAAAAATTAAGTACATATGGTATATATGATGCGTATAAGAACCGTTGACGTATCAGCTTCGACTTGTGTGAGTAAGCGAATGAAATTTGAGTAATATCATTAGTTGGCGATATATAAGTTTAAATCATAGACAATACACTACATGGACTGCTAGTCCTCATATGTTTTTCGTTGTATGTAGTGCTCGAACATAGATGGGTATGTGACGTCACATGCCTGAGCGAACATTGCCGACGACAATCGCGGACTCTCCCGATTTATCAAATGTCATATGTCCTATGTTAATATTCCGTGCCTAACATAGGCCTTTGCATATATAAATCGATTCTAACAGGTGGATTTGATTTTATGTACATTTATTTCACAGGGAAAATATTATTAATGTCATTTCTTACAAAATTACCAGCCATCACAATTGCCGTTATATTATTAGAATAAAACATATGACATATGACATTTAGTCAATCGGGAGAATCCGCGACTGTCGTCGGAAACGTTCGCTCAGACATGTGACGTCATATACTCTTCTATGTTTGAGCACTTGTTTTGCGCTCGACTAGCAGTCCATGTAATATAAAGTCTATGGTTTAAATACACATTTGAGTAATAACTATAAATGAGACATTGTACTAATAAAAAATACAGGTAAGCAATTAACTTATTAGCGGACAGTAAAAGTTTCAGCAAGGTACAAAAACTGACAGTCATTTTATTTTTAAATTGATTGTGATATTCTAAATTTTGTTAAACACCTTATTGTAAGAGCCATTTATCATATTTTAATCGTTTCATACAATAAATGCTATAGCATCCACGTCAAGTATTACGCTTCTATTGCTTGCCCAAGCTAGTTAGTGACTACGGGTAAAGATGAGATAATACGAAAATACCTAAAGAATCAGTTAGTCATTACCTTGACAGGTATAATAATTACAAAAACGTAAGGTTATATCAAATTAAAAATAAAAGAAATGACTTTAAAATTTGAATGCTATAGCATTCATGTTATTTTGCATTACAATGAAAATTGATGCTGTAACATTCACGTCCCCGAACGTGTTAACATAAGTTTACCTTATTTCCTCTCTTGAAAAAAAATAAAACATTTAATTATCCTCCTAATTAGAGTTTATTATATAAAAAATATACCACAGCGTTTCTTACGACAACAAGTATCATCATAAACAAATATAATTTAAATTTATCTTATTACAAATGGTACAGCTAACGTGTTATCAGCTAAAAACGGCTTATTATATACAAATACCTGATAAAAATCTAGATTCAATAGAGTACATTTGACATTCATATTGCTTTATTATCTCGAAAACACATGTTCGTAAAGAATAAGTGAGCACATATTTATCTTGTGTGTTTATGAAACAATATTACGAACTTGCAATCTCATTAGAAAATATAAAAAATATTTGTTTCTCGTATCAACAAAACTATTCAAATTTCAACTTTAACAAGAGATGATTAGCTTTAGAAATTTACAATTCATAAATAATTTCGATACTTTATTAGGGTGGGTCAAATTGTATGCTTATTGTGGGCCTACGGGTTATGCAGATGACGTGGATGCTATAGCATTCATCGCATATAGCAATTAAAATATGATAATAGGACTACCCAATTAAACAGTGTTTCATCAAATTTCGAATATCACAACCAATTTAAAAATAAAATTACTGTCAGTTTTTTACTTCGCTGAAACTGTTACTGTCCGCAGCATTTGCATAAAATTAATAAATTTGTATTTATTTTTAATTTTTTAGCACATTTTTTTATTTATTTGAATTAATTTTTTATATTTTAGTCCAATAATTTGGTTATCATTCCAATAACGGGTGTACTTAAACTTATCTTCTTCTTTCACAGTTTTTAAAAAAAATATTTAAAATTGAAATTAATTTGAAAAATCTATTTTCATTTGAAACTTTATATCCAAATTTACTTTTAGAGCAATTTATAAAACTTTTGAAAAACATTAATTATTTCAAAAATTAAAAATGTAGTTTTTTTAGAAGAACAATATCCTATTGTTATATCACAAAACATTTCGTTTTACATTTTTAGCGGGATGGTATTGACTTTCGTTTCAATTTTAAATACAGTGCCAACAATTTTTGGAAATCAAATTTGCAAAAATTATAGATAAATTTATTATTATCAACATACCTTCATTATTTTGCGAAGTGACAAACGTTTTAATCAAAGTATCCGTCGTTTGTGTATATAATGACAAGGCATATCGTAAACTCTGCAATTCTGCACTTTTTTCCAGGAAGGTCTTTTTGAGGCCGTTTCCTCCTGCATGGAAATATTGTTTGATCGTGTCCAGGGCCACGTCTAGGACCGCACATTGTTTCGGCGAAAGATTCTTTTCCACCTAGAAAGGAAATAATTAAAATTGTGGACAGTAATTGCGCCTGGGTCGAGCAACTTAGAAGGCTCTTATGTAGAATTGTAAGAGACAGAATATATAGAATTAAAAAGTATAATTCAGCACTTTTAAATTTGCTGATGAAGCATCTTCATACGATATAATAATACATTTGATATAAATATTTTAATACTAGAAAAATAAAATAAATTATTAGGGAAGTATCACATTAGGCACTCAAAGACTGCTGAAGTTGAAAGAGCATAGATAGCATAAGCAAATAATTGATGATAAACCTGAAAATTATAATAAACCTTCAAATTTAGACAAATATGAAAATTTCATAGATTTTGAAAAAACATCTTTTATCTAATTAAGCTTCCAAAGTCTGTTCAAAGCTAATAATATCATAATTATTACTTAAAATTAAGTTACAGTGTTAATATGAATTTAATGAGGCGGATAAACGAAATACATTTTATTGCTAAGACTGATATAATTATTGCTTAATTTTTCACCTCTTTTGATATATCCATAACTCCACTCAAAGCATTTTTAACATCTTGTTTACCGGCCATATGATTCTTAAACAATCTACCCATATCTTCAATCTTTGCATTTGCAGCCAAATTTTTAGCATTGTCCGTGAAGTTTTTGAACAATATCTGAAATAAATAATAATATTAATAATTATATAACATAAAACTTATCAAAAAATAAAATAAAAATATTAAGAGCTAAATTAATAAGTTGATTCTAAAGTAAGTCTGTAACGGCCTGTCTTCACATACAAGCAGAGTTTACGTAAATTAGCATTTTATTTTTTGATCATGTGGTGTGTTTTTTTAATTTGTTATAATGTAGTAATTTATGTGACGTGTAAATTTTATATTTATTTTCAAAACAAATTGTTAGTTTTTGTAGCTCTTGTTCTTGTAGAGAGGCTGCTACAGTACTCCCCTCAAAGGAAAAAAGACAATTTTTTAAGTCAAATGATATTTTGAGTTAAAATTAAGCGAACAACATTTATTTTAAAATGAGTAGATCAATATAGTATTGTGATGATATTTTGTGCCATAATAATAAAATATATGTAAAATTTATAAATTTATATTTTTGTTTCCAAGCAAATCGATAATTTTCGTATCTTGCTTCTGACCTTGTAAAAAATAGCTTCTACATATCTATTAATTATTATAACATTATTATTAAAATGTTTTTTATAAGAATATATAAAGAAAAGTAAAATCAGAACAAAAATATATAATAAAAAAGTTATGAAAACCAATTAGATAAGAATGAGAACGAACTCAGTTTAGGTACTTATACAATTATTTAAGTATTTGGTAGATACTATGCATAATATTTAAATGATCAAAATGAGTAAAAGATACGAAATCTAACTCCTAATTTAAACTTAAACTCAATAAAAACTTGTAATTAATTTAAAATCAACAACGAGCTTCCTTCAGATTGGATCCCCTATCATCAATTTGGCTTTAGACGTGAACATTCGACCACACAACAAGTTCACAGGGTTATTGATACTGTACATAAGTCATTTGAAAATAAGCAATTTTGTAGTGGTGTCTTCCTGGATGTTCGACAAGCATTCGATAAAGTTTGGCACCCAGGACTTTTATATAAAATAAAAACATACCTTCCAACCAGGTATTATGGGATTTTAAAATCCTATCTACAAGATAGGATTTTTCAAGTGAAAGTAAATCAAGTAACATCTGATTTTCACAAAATAATGTCAGGAGTTCCACAAGGTAGTATTTTTGGACCCTTCTTATATGTTTTATACACAAAGGACCTCCCATTACTTGAAAATCTGACAATTGCTACATTCGCTGACGATATTGCCATACTAAGCAGTAATCACAGTGCTGATCAAGCTTCCCGACAAACGCAAGAACTTATCAATAAACTACAAATGTGGCTTGCTAAATGGAAGATTTGCATAAATGAAACCAAATCAGTTCATATTACATTTACCCTGAGAGAGGGTACGTGTCCTCCAATTTTTTTAAATAACGTCCAGATTCCGAAACAGAACATAGTGAAATATCTTGGTCTCCATTTAGATAGCAGACTTACTTGGAAAAGCCATATAAAAAGAAAAAGCAGCAAATAATAATCAAAAAGAAAGAATTTGATTGGCTACTGCGTAAAAAGTCGAAGCTCTCTGTCGAAAATAAGTTGCTGCTATATAAATCGATTATTAAACCAATCTGGAGCTACGGAATTGAGCTCTGGGGATGTGCTTACAAATCTAATGTAGCTATAATGCAGAGAACTCAATCAAAAATTTTACGTACAATTCTTAATTCTCCGTGGTACGTGACAAATGAAACCATTCACAGCGACCTCAACATGAAAACGGTGCAATTAACGTTGAAAGAAGTTAAGGAAAAATATAAGCGCAAACTGGACGCACATTTGAACCCTTCTATAGTTGACATTACTCAACCATTTGGCATTAGGAGGTTGAAACGACAATGGCCCTTAGACTTAGTCTTAGATTAGGTCTAATATGTCATATTAATTGTAAAACTGAGAAGTTGTCATTGGAGTTCTTCTTAGGCATCACTCATAAATGTTGTCATTTTAGCTCATAGGAATCTTTATGTATTTTTGATTGCTAAATAAAACTGAGTTAAAAAAAAAAAAAAAAAAAATTGTTTTTGACAAAGATATCATATTCTTTTTAAATACAAAATTAGATAAAACTATTTTTTACCGTTTTATCAGTCATCGGCGGCAAAACAACAGTCTTCTCTAATATCCTCATAACAATTTTCCAAAGTTCCTTCAAAAGCCTCTTCAGGACCGTCTTCTCACAAGATTGTGCGTATAATGTTAGTGAGCCATCCAAAAGATCCATCAATGGCCTGTAATAAATATTTTATAAGGAATTAGGAATAATATTGATTTAATTACTATTTAAATAATTTAATACCTTAAAACTTCATCAGCTTCAACAGCAACTGTGTGCCTTACTTGAGGGTTATTTAGAGCAACTGTTCCGCCGCCTTTTATTGCCAGCAACATATCACCTAGTTCTTTCACGCTCACAGTAATTCGAGGCTCAAGACTGAAAAAATATCAAGTTGATATAGCATAAAAATATTTTAAAGTAAATACTTTTCCAATATCTATGAACTTTCAGAGAAAATGAAAAAGTCAACACAAACAAAATAAATGGAACGCTAAAGAAGATACTAATATAAGCACTTCAGTATTGTGTGTCAAAAATCTTATGATGATAAAATAGTTCTTAAAAAGCATATGGATCGGTCTTTTACAAATCGTACGGATTTGGTGAAAAATGTGACATTTTAGAATTGATATATATTATGATTATATTATAAAGATTTCCAAATATTTATTACCTCTTAGCAAATTGCACAGCCAGTTCATCTAGAGCGCCGTTCAAGTTGGCTTGCAAATCGTTCAGGATACTTGCAGCATCTTGTTCTAATTTTTCGCCGCCCATGGACTCAAACATTTTTTGTAATTGTACCCTTAATTGCTGTATATTGTTCATCAATATACATGCCTGAAAAAATCATATAGTAAATTAAGAATGATACAAAGTAAAATATTTATCAAAGGTTTCATATAAATTATAAAAAATAGTTCCAGTAGTTAACATGATTTTGGTATTTTGAAAATATATTTTTTGTAGGATAATATGGCCAAATATCTTAAGTGAAAGCATTATGATTTAACCGAGATTTGAAAAACTATACCTCAAAAGAAAAAAAAAAGAAATTAAAAATATATTTAAAAATTGACAATTGCACTACAATTACTTCTATAAAACTAACAATTACGATAATTATAAACTATAAATTGAAATTCTCAATAAAGTGATAAATATTGTCTAGAGGCGACACTCGTACACACACGCCGTCAAGTGGATGTCATATATCCTAGTTCATTATGTTATTATACAAATGTGATAATACAAAAATTAAATTTGCACTGATAATGCAATAAAACAATTTTGAAACTATAATATTATTTACTAAAGTCAATATGAAGATATTTTGCCTAAGGTTTTATAATTGTATAAAATACCGTTTGCAAATAAAATAATTTAAAGCAATTTTTTTGGAATAAAATTGATCAAATTCTTCATTATTTAATATAATTTATTTTGTGATGGTGGTGATAGAACTTAATTAAATTATACGTTTCGGCACTTGATGTGCATCATCATTCAGGAATCTGGTATGCTATTCATAAAGCAAATTAACAATAATGAAAAACTAAAGATGAACTCGAAGTTAATTCGCAAAGATCTAGAAAACTTGTGATTAAAAATTTAAAAAGAAAGATGATTATGAAGACAATTTTGAAAATAAGAATACTTGTGCTGATTTAGAAATCCAAAATATTGCGAAAAACTAAAAATATCACTAAATGGAAAAATTGATAAAAAATGGAAACTTGTTGGAACAAACGTGCTACATCTTTTCTCTCTGAACCCTATGTCAAAAACAGTATAGTTTAGCTGTTATAGCGACTGCCTGAAGTTTCAACATTGAAAAAGTTCTCAAATAAACAAGATGTTAATATAATTAATTACATAATGCATAATGTAATGTTATGTAATACATGCATAATGTGCATGTAATAACATAACATTCAAGTCCAAACCAAACAACAATGATAATCCTTTACCATCGCATGTCTACTACTCACTATTCTTTCCTCCTTCAAATGCTCCGGGAATTCCTTCTTGACGATATCCGCGTAGGCGATCAGCACCTTGACTATCGTCTTGGCGAATCTCTTCATATATCTCTTCCAAATCTCCGGATCGGGGCATTCCAGTTTCGAGACGACGTCGAAGCATTGCGTGAGTTGCGTGAATACGTCGACCACGCTGTTGGAAAACAGTGCGTGCTCGCTGCTCTTTTGGAACTGTTGACAAGAGGTGTAATCGATTTATTGTTTGTTTGTTTAGGGAGGAAAAGGACGAGGAGTAATTTGATATAGATATACATTTTATAAACATTAAAAACCAGAGGGCTTTTTAGAATTAAATATTTTTTTAACCAGTTAACTGTGGAGCTCATAAGGCTCGTGACGTGTATATTTGTCAATCACAATGTAAGTTGGGCTGCTAAGATAACAGATTAAGTTATTACTTAAGGTGAGCATATTTTTTGCATGAAATTCGGGACGGATTAGAATGTGCGTGAGAGCGGGGGCGAGGGGAGTGTTGGCGAGCAAAAAACTTATATGCACATTTATAAATATACTAATAATAATTTACGGTTCACATTTTGTAGTTGAAATATATTTAAAAATATATTGGCAATCAAAACATTTTTAAAAATCCGGGACAATCCGGGGCAAAACACCTAAAACCGGGACAAATTTTGCTTTTAGAAAAAGCCGGGTCGCAAGTTGGAAAATCGGGACTGTCCCGGCTAATCCGGGACGTATGGTCACCTTATATTATTACATTATACTTCTTTATTTACGTAAACATATATTACTAAAGTAACCATATTTTTTAAGTCAAAACCGAGACCGAGTCGACAATTTTTAGTTATAGTAATCCGGGGCAGAAGGGAGGGGGGTATGTTCAATAACATAAATATGATTTTACATACAAACTTTAAGTATAGAATGAAAGGTTTTTTAATGAATCAATTTGTTTTTAAATTAGAATTATGGGCTTCTGGTAAGAACGTAACTAATCAGTTATATATTATACTCATCTACTACTTATGATGTTTAAACTTATATTTTTCGATCCATATGTTTTTTTTGTTTCCGAGCCTTGTATAAAATAAAATTTTATTCATTTCTCTCCATAATTAACTTAAAAAATTAGTACTTGTGCCAGATAGTCAAAAAGAGTATCTGCTTAATTTTTGCGAATTTTTATGAAATTTCATTGAATTGGAGTTGGAATTTATTAATGGCTATTTTAACCCGTCTTTGGATTTTTGCATTCAGTAATTTTTTTCATTTATATCATATTGTTCCATATAAGCAATCTCATTTCATATATCATTTTCAGATATTTGATAGGTAGTTATAATTTTAATATCAAGTACTTAGAAAGATTCAATTTAAACCCATACTTTTCGAAAACCCGGGGCAATCAAAGACAAAAGATTTAAATTCGAGGCAGATGTTGCTCTTAGTAAAACACGGGACACAAGGTAAAAATCCGGAAATCCGGCCAAATCTTTACGGCCAAATCTTTACGTATGGTCACCTTAAGATTACGTAGGTGTGTGTATTATGAGAATAGTTTTTTATGAACAGCAAAATAAAGGATCAAAATGAACAGTTTAAAATGTTATTTAAATAGCTAAATCTTAATTCTCATAGATTAAGAATATTATTTTTACTTCGGGAAGTTAGTGCTACTTGCATTAAGATAAAATGCCACTTAGAGCTACTTATTTTATACAGTAATAGCCTCAAAATATTCAAAAAAATTTGACATATTAGAATGTATTGTTTTTTCAAAAGTTGCCATTCAATTAGCAAATGGATACACTTTCATAAGCATGGTAAATATACACGTCAATACACAAAATTTTGCTACGTCCCTATGAAGAGCATATTTGTCAATCACTGGTTAACATTTCAGTAACTTTGCTGTTACTAATTCTGTACGAAGACATACTTTCATTAATTTCTGCAATAATATTTAAACGTGTTTTCATTTATTTTATTTTGCCAAATAAAAGCTCTAGAAATATTGTTCCTAACAGATATGCTTCAAACTTTTGGGTTATATTTTGGCGAAGAGTTCCAAACCGATTCCAAAATTATTAAATTATACCAATATCGGAGGGCAATCTCAATAAGAATCCTTAATATTAATTCTCCGAATTGTTTAAGAATTGGGAAATTTATATGAAATTGACTTACGCAATCTTTCTTATCCCTATTGAAAGCTCCATGTAAGTATTCTAATGAAACATCGTCGTTTTCGTTTAACCATTGCATGACAAAAGGTTCGAACCAGGCAGGATAATCAGGAACAGCTCCTTTATAAGGCGGTACATCGGTGACGTAGTTGGTATGTAACCATTTCACCTGAAAAAGAAACAAAACTTAGTGATTATCACTTTTAATAATTTATTATTTTCATATAGTTTTATTGTATTTATTGCAGCAATCTATCTAAAATATATTCTAACATTTCAGACATGAAGGGAGAAGGATACTTGGTCATTACCAGCTCTTTTAGATTTTAGATAATAATAATAATAAGTAATTCAAATGATACTGAAAAAATATCATATGAAGATATCTATATTCATATATAAGACTTTTGAATGAATTTTAAAACTTCTGTATCGGAACTATATTAGTTCAACTTTAATAAATTTTTCTTAAATTGCTGATAAACCAATTTATCGATCGGTAGAGTCAGTGACTAAACTTACCTTGAAATGTAAATTCATGTATGCCGAAGATTTGCATAACCTATGTTGCTCGTGTTCTTCTAATGCATATTTCATATCCACAGCAAAAAGTCCCCACATGGTGGCGGCCGATAACTGAAAAATTTAAATAACCAGTTTACTCAATTGTTGTTTTTTGTATTTTCTATTAATTTTAAATGTTATATTAAATTTCCATTGACATTAAAATTTACACAACATATAAATACAATGAAGATGTAAAAATATATATTCAAACACTTTACTAGTTTATTATTATTTTATTACCTGGCCAATATTCAGTTCCTGTGGAAATTGGTTCAAAACCGGCGCATAACTATTTTTATCCTCTTCAATAACACTCACAATAAGAGCAATCAATTTATGCCAAAAATCTACACTATCCAACCTAGGATCCATCCTAGCATCCTCGGCATCTCGTTTCGCTTCATTAGGATCGACTTGGAATTCTCTATTATACAATTCATAACAATTCTCGAAAAGGAACTGATATGTAGACCTAAGGCAAGCTTTAACACAATCTTTAACAACGGTGCTAGCCCTTGGAGGACTCGATAATTCTTGAACTTTCATTCGGAAGAAGGTAATACTGGTGAGGAGATCTACAGTGGATTTGAGATCCATGAGTTTTTCGTTGCTAGATGCGGGGAAATTGTTTCTGTACATTGAAAGATCGATTCGTAAGGAGTTGTGGAGTTGGTCGAGGAGTTTGACGAACTTCTCTTTCTGGAAATGAAAGAAATATGTGAAATGAGGTGATAAATTTGTTTATATAGTGTAACTTACGCCAAAATTCGAGGCGGCAAATCTATCGCTAGCCGATACCGCGGAACTAGCCGTCGTATGTGCGTAATATGCGTTAATATTTGCTAGAAGAGTTGACATCACAGCCGGCACACCAGGACACAGATACTTCGTCGATAAACAATGGAAATGCCTAAAATTAGAAAACAAAATTTAGAATTTTATATAAAACACTCAGATTTACATTAGTTATCTATTCTAATGGATCAAATCACATAGTGGAACACAACATCATGATAAACGAGCCAAAGAGAAAAATGTTATTATTGGCTGTCTTTGGAGCATGTTATAATGTACTGCAAAGCTCGAATATGGGAAAACATAACATTTACTTAAAGAAAAGTATTATAGAATTGAGCAACCGGAGTATTTACAATATAATGGTATAGACAACTTAGAAATGGAACAACAACAAAAATGTGTAGATTAATGGACCGATTTTGCCGCATAACAGATAAATTTTATGGCAAAGCTATGTTATGAAAAACTGTCCATACTACTTCGTTCTAAATATTGACAAAAGCAATGTGGTTGCTGTGCAGTCAGGCGATTTTCTCAGGTTGTCAGATAGAAAACCTAACCTAGAAACTGCACAAATGTCAAAAAAACAATCTTAGGTAACAGGGTCTTTCTGGCTCAGCTTCATAACATACGAGAGACGTTACAGTTTAAGTGTAAAACGCCTGAATGAACAGTACATACATGACTGTTTGGCAGTATGATTCAGTAGCATAATGTATGGAAGTTGGAGCATAACATTGCCTTGCCATAACATTGGTCTGTTGTGCGGCAGAATCGGTCCATAAGATTCAATTAGGGATATGATTCATTTTACATCTCTATAAAATAAAATAAAATCATCATATGGAAAATTTGAAGCGAATGCTCAGCATCCCAGATTTTAAAGTGCAAAAAATATAATTCAAAGATACAAATAAGAAATACAAATTAAATATTGAGAAGATTTTTATCTTTATTTTATTAGCTTATTTTATTAAAAAATGTCAATGTATTTAAAATTATTTATCATTACATAGATGAGTGTTTAATTTATATATACAAGTATATAATGACAAGTATATAATTCGATAAGAACTTGATAACTAAACACGTTAATTGCCACGGTAATATCAGAAATTTTTCTCAGGAGCCATGTGAACTTTATTAGATAATTTAGTTTAAAATGTATCAAGGAAACTTAGCGGCCAATTTTATGGTAAAATAGACCTTAACATAGGGTTGCCTTCACAACGCACATTTTTCATGAAAAATGTGCACTAAAAACAGCCAAAATGCCAAACTATGTATTTTCTATGCAGTCAGGCGTTTTAGATATCAAAAAAGGAATACTATCATAACTGCATCTTCATGATGTGAATTTATAACACAAACGTGAACTTAAGTGTTGTGTGTGAAACATTTTGACAGTTTTTAGTACCATTTTGTAGGAAAAAATGGCGTAACATTGCGATGCCATAACAAAGCAATGTTAAGCTAAATTTTACCCAAGAATTGCCCCATTAATGTAACAAAAATTTGTTTCTGCAAAATTTCTGGAATAACACTATTTTTTATGTCATACATACATATGACTGATAAAGCCCTACATTACTTTTTTTTCTCGGCAAGCCGTATCAGTCTTGAATGTCTGATGCATTTTTTGAACAAAATTTTCAGGATTTGTTCCCAATAGGTTAAATTTTTGAAACTTACTATAAATGTATCGTTTGTGTCGGACATCTATAATTGATGTGGCCTTTTGCCAATATATGTCATGTATGTCATACATATAATACTGACATGGCTCTTATTAACAGATATGGCGATTAATGTGTCAGAGAAAAACTTGTTAAAAATCTAATTTAGAATAGTTTTCTTCTACTCACGTCATAGCCTGGTAAATAGATTCAATTCCATATCGCATAGCAAATTCGTCCACGATTTCTTCAGGAGCTTCGTCGAAATAAACCTTCCATGCTTCGTCTCCCTTGGCGGTTGGTAAACTAACGATTCCGCCATTCGTTTCGCAGAGGGAATGAAACAAATTTTCGTGCAGACAAGTGTATTGGACGTGGTAAGGAGCTACTTTTTCTTCGCCTTTAATTTCAACAGATATGTGCAGGCGAATGGCACCAGACACAGCCGATTTGTCAGTTCGTTTCTCCAAGTTATACCAGACGTCCATCTCGCCTGACAGGGTACGGACCTGGGGAAGAAGACAATTTTAGAGTTGAATATTTAATAAATTAATTATATATTTAATAAATGTCAAGGACACTTATTTGTATTGTTCTGATGAATCTAAAATAAAAGATTAAAAATCTGTGATGGAGTTTCAATTACTACATGCCCAAAAAACGCAATCTAAATTCCCTTCCAAAACCTTTGTAATTAAAAAATACACGTCGCTTGCAAAAATGTAACAACTGCCGTAAAAAATAAAAGACAGATTTCCATCCAAAACCCATCTCTATTGTGCTTTCGGAAAAAATAATATATCGTACTCACCTCGATGATTGTTTGTCCCAAAAAGTCATCCGATTCTCTCGTCAGCTTTTGCCGGAGCTTCGATTTCAAATCATTGTCTTCATCCCACACACGCACTTTTATTCGGTCGGATGAATTGTGGCATTCACTGAAAAATGATGAATGGAATACAATATATTGAAAATAAAATTATTCAAAATTTTAATTATTATTTCGTTCAATGGTAAAATACCGTGCATTGTCTGAACTGACACTCAAAAATATTAAAAGTCAAAGAAATTAATTCATAGTTTTATGTTAATCTTTTTGTCCATGCTAGTCGAACAAAAGAATTAAATTGACCGGAGGAAAACCAAAATTAGTTCTCAAAGTTCAAAAGTATTAAAAATCAAAAATTTTAATATATTGTAGATATAACTTTTGGTACACGTTGTTCGACGAAAATCCTGGAATATGACTTACCTAAAATTGCATTAATCATTCAAAAATATTATTAAGTATGGAAAATCACAAATTTTAATGCAAAATGATTTTGTTAGTTTTTAGTCCATGTTTGGATAAAGAAATGAATTTCTCCGCAAATAGATTACCTAAAATGACAATAATCATTCAAAAGTGTAAAAAATTAATTATTTTATTGCATAAAAATTGGTTAATTTTGGTTTATATTATTTTTGTAAATGCGTTATATTTCATGTATTTTTGAAGTATAACTTCTTTAGATGCGACTAGGTTGTAAATCCGTACAAATGCCACGGAAGTGCGTTACGAAGTAGGTCGATTGTGATTAGTCGTCGCGTATGTGAATAGAGATCTGTCGTTGTATGCGTACCGATATCACAAGGAAATCGGCATAGATAAATAAACATTTTAAAATACATCGTAGTACAAATCTTGATTTAATGAAAAAGTGAAAATAATAAAACAAATTAAACATTTGTGCCGTGTACTAAACGTAAGTTTATTGATTAGAAATTATTTCTATATTATTCTAGTTTCTATAAATCTTTGAAGTTTGAAATTTCTAAACACTAATTACAATGACAAACCGATCATGTAATTTTTGAAGTATGACTTTAATTACATTATTGTTTTTAAATATTATAAGTATTTTTAATGCTATTATAAATATATAATTTAAAAATTTATTATCATATAAATGTGCATAATGTTTGACACTAATAAATGTG